TAGACCAGACCCTTGGAGCTCTCATACTCCTCCAGCCCCAGCAGGCTTTTCTCTCCCTCCTGTCAGTCCCTCCACTGTGGCCATCCCCCAGCAGCTTCCTGTCTTTGCTTCTTTCTCTTAAGATAGATAAGGACTATGGGAAAGACCCTAAAGTGATGTAGGTGTCCAGCCCCTTAAGCTAGACTTCTCCCTCTTCTCCTTTTTAGGACTAAGAAGCCAGACATTCCAAGTCTTTTGGGAACCAATTCCTTTTTCACCCAAAGACCTCAAATTGGAACCAACCCGTCTTCATCTCTCCATTCCTCAAGACTTTGTTTTGCATATTTACCAAGCCCACTGCCACTGTCCTTGCCCCTTCTACTTCAGGGGCGTCCTGGAGACACTTAGCCATAGTCTTGGGACATGGAAAAGTATGTATTGGCATCTTGGTTTCTTGTTTCCAGCCTTAGATAAATTCCATTCTGGAGGCTAGAAGTAAAATCAAGGTGTTAATAGAGCCATGTCCATTCTTGAAGTTCCCAGGAAGAAGTTCTACTTGTCTTTTTCTACTTTCTAGTGGTTGCTGGCATTCCTTGATATTCCTTGGCTTGTAGTTACACCACTCCATCAAGTGTTCCTAAGATCCCTTTCTCACTGTTGTGTCTTTCCTAACTTCTAAGCTGCCCTCCTCTCCCAAGCTCTCCTCAAACAAAAAAATTACCTTACTCATGGAATTAGGTAAGGGATGATCACACTGGATTCTGGAATTAAAAACACCAAAAAAAAAAAAAAAAGTTAAAATGCATTTGGTTCTGTCTACACTGGCTAAGAATATTGCTCTACACTGTAATTTTAAATGTCTGTATGAATGTAGTGTGGGTTTGAATAGCATTGTCTGAGTGGCCCCACAGGTACATTTATCTTCTAGCCACCTCCTGTCGCAGTCCTTCAAGTTAAAGAAGAAAGGAAGAAAAAAAAAACCACAAAAACACAAAGCCTTAAGCTCTTTGAATTATTTCTTTACCAAATGAGCATGGTTCTAACACTGGAGATGGGCCTGCGCTGAAACAGCCCCTCTTATCCCTACCCATTTAGAGCACACCCCCACTCCATGCTCAACATGTCTTATTCCCAAATGACAACTAGTTGGCTAGAGTTTTAACTTTTCTGTAACTTTAGATTGTTTTGTTGTAAATTTTCGCACCCTTTTGTTAAAAGATGCACCCTTGGCATTTTTTTTAAACCAAAAACAAGCGAGTCCTTACCTTTCCTCTTGTCTCTGGGGAATGTAAACTAAAGTTCTTAAAGATTTTGGATTTTAAGGTTTTGTTCCATATACTATTGACTGTTCTTTAGCCAGAGATTCTTTAGTGATCTGAAGCAATGTAACTGACTGAAGACCAGTTTTTAAATTATGTGTTGGCAGATTGCCTTATATTTAAAAAGGGGGGGGAAAGACAAAAAGTTGCCTGATTGTGTTATGCCAAATGATAGCAACATGAAACCCTAATTTATTGTTCCTAATCGTTTTCCTGCTGTCTGTGAACACGGCGCCTCCTTGTCGCTGAGCCCTCAGGAGGACCTGCAGCTTCTGCTGCAGAGCTGCCTCCCAGGGGACCGGCCACCATCTAGCTCATCAGGGTCCTTTCCATGAGTCAGACTTCTAGAGCACCACTCTCCCCTTCTCCCTTGCTTGATAATCAAGCCAGGTGTTTTTGCTACCTTTTTTTTTTCCTTCACTGCCTCTTACCACAAGGTGGGCTGCCATTTTAGGAAGTTGGACTAAATACCAACTTGGGGGCTATAAGTCAGATAACCTCAAACCCATCTCTTCCTGTGTAGGGGGTGCAAGTCTGTAACTCACTCCCACCCTAGTCTGCATGGATAATGTACTGTGATTCCTCCTCCCTCCCCTACTACCTTCATCTTCAGTGTGAGATGTTTCCTGAGCTCCCCCTCCCCTGCCCCACTACACCAACTACCCCCCTAGCCAGCAATAAGGGTCCAGGCCAGGGCCTCCTGCCCACTCCCCATCTTCATTGCACACTACCCTTAGGGAATTAACTGGATTCCCCACTATCCACATACTGTAGCATTCATTCTCCATCTCCCTCACTTGCTCACCTGTGGTGGTTTATGGGTATGATGGGGTTTTTAAGATTATTATAAACCAGTAAAAACAAAACAAACAGAAAACCTCACCTTTTGACCTTGTCCTATTCCTTTAATTCTGTGACTGTTTCAAAGGATTTTTTTAAAGTTCCTAACTTGTCTCATTTGCTAGAAGGGGAGTAATTCCTGTTTTTAATTGAGGGGGAGGTGCATTTAGTATACATCCACTTAGATAACCTCCCATTATCACAGGGTGTAGAGTTACCTTTAACCCTTTCTATACTCTTACCAAGGATATTTGAGGGCTGCCAAAGGTCTGGTGTGGGATTGTTTGCCTCCCTCACTGTTGTTTTGAGAAAGGAGGATCTGGTTTGGTAGTGAAAGATTTCCCTCCCTTCTCCTGAGGCTTCAAACCTTTAGAATTTCTGAAGAGGTTAGAGATTATAGCAGCTATAATGCGAAAAAGTAGCTGCTTCCCATATATTTGTAGTATAGAACTTAATCCCTTTTGTCTCCCGGGAAGAAAAATCCAAAAGAACTTTTATCAGTTAACCCCATCCATTTCTTCTGAGGTTAAGTTTGGAGTAAGATATGGAGACAAAGGTTACAAAAGATTTTAAATTCAGGGAAGGTGATATCAGATTGTTGGCAGTAAAAACCTGTCAAGTGGCTCCCAAAATTCTGATGGTGTTTGAAGCAAGCTCTACTTTCTAAAGTGCCTTTTCCTGTGAGGTGTCCCTTTGTGAAAGCCCTTTATCTACTTTTCAGGCCACTCTTGTTCAAGAGCCAAATACATCTTAATTCTGCTTCCTGAGTTGATGCCTAGGCTCCTGACTTGTCAGGGTGGGGCAGGATCCTGTTCACCAGCGTGTTGAGTTTCAGTAGCAGTAACTACATGCAGAAGCATTCAAATGGTCTGGCCTATCTGGGTATGGGGTCAATTGCAAGGCCTCACTGGTGCACACACTAGAGAACTCCATTCCACCTTCTCTGGGATTGTGCAGCAATTGTGTTGCCTTCCCAGCAACAAAGGGAGCCAATCTTTAATGTCTGGGATGGTGAAGGGTGATTTGCTTCTATTCCCCAAGATGGAGTTGAACTGACATGTCCTCAGTGGGAGTTCATGGGGTGGGAAGGCAACATTACCCTACACCATGTCTAGGCTGCTGCTTCACAGCAATGGATTGATTCTGACCGGAAAAGAGTGGCTGGTGAAGAGTTGTCCAGCTCTTCTTATAAAGAGATACTTCACCCCAGCTTTAATGTGGAGGGAATGGAAGAACTACATATGGCCCGTAAAGCCACCCAAACTAGGAAACACCCATCTTATTTTATTAGACCCTTTCTATGGCTAGACAAGAATAAGGTTCATTTTCCTGAGAGGGTCCTGAAATCTACCTATTGCCAAAATTGAAAAGCTGTACTTTTAGCTCTTTAATCAATCTATCGAGGGATTGTTGTAGCTTAAAGCAGAATTCTGGTGGCGTAGTGGCAAGAAGCTGCAACTGCAATCTCAGAGATGCCCGGTTCGAATCCACCAGATGCTCGCTGGAGAAGGAGGAACAATCTCCTCCTGTACCAGTCAGATCTGATTTGACGGTACACACAAAATATAATGAAATAAATTTTAATTAAAAAAAAAAACCCAACAGAATCCAGGTCTTGTCCCAAACCAGCTTAAGGCTCACTGATTTAAGTTGATCCACTCTTTTGTTCTTGGTTCATGGACAAATGTAGATGATCACAGGAGCACATTGAAGTCTCCATGAAAATCAAATATGGTCATGGATGAGGAAACATAAGTGCCTTGAAGGATGGAGGCTGGGTTTTGGACTCTGAGTCTCATGAAGCATGTTTTCTTGCCAGGAAACTATTGTCTCATTAACTCATCACTGCAGCTCACTTAGGTTCTTTTACTAAGTTGCTAATAAAAGCGATTTTATGTGGCTGTTCCATTAAATGAAATAGTGCATTAGCGTGCTTAGCAGTATATTCCACATGAAATCGCCCGATGAACGATAGCTATTATTAAACAAGGAAAGACCTGCTTAGGGCAGAATTCTTGCTTTAGAAAATATCCAAACCTCCCAATCTAGCCACCAGAGGGCAACAGCAGGAGACCACCTTCCACACAAAGCCTAATGTAGTTCCCCTTTTGTCCACCAGAGGGTGACCTATCTGGGCGGCAGCAGCAGCCTTTCTCCAAACAGTCCGTTGGGCCTTTAAAAGTGGGACCAATCCTTCTAGGGCCCTAACTGGCACAGCCCCAGGGGGGAGGAGGGGTGTTCCTAACCCACAGACCAGGCCTCTCTGGCGGTCTGAATCCACTAGTGGCTGATTTGAACTGTCAGGACAGGGAGAGGAGTACAAAGCAATGAGAACCAACCCAGGAGAGCAGCGTTAGTGGCCACCTCTGTAAGGAATGAGGGCGGTTAAGCCAAAGTCCTGGCTCTGATGATCTGAATCCAACAGTAGCTTCCACAAAGAAATGTGGACAACCTTGTCCCAGAAACTCACTGGACGATCAGCTGAGTTCACTGGCAATTTCTGAGAATAAACCCAGAGGCCATGAAGTATGTATCTAGCTGCCAACTGGACAGTTCAAAACCACTAGCTGCTCTGCAGTAGAAACACATTCTCCCATAAAGACTTTCTGCCTCAGAAACCTGATAGATGGTTAGAGTTGGAATGAAACCCAACATAGTGGTGGGGAGATCAACCCTGAGAATTCTGGTTGAGTACTTGATTGCCAACTCACCATCTCAAAGGGGAAAAAAACTACTGTCTTGGAAACCTTAGGGGGCAGTTTATGACCATGCATGGCCCCTCTCTGTAACCTGGAATTAGCTCCATAGCAACAGGTAGAGTGGTTTTTTTTAACCACCCAGATGAGTAAGACTGGAACGAAGTTAATAAATACAATTCCAGATTTATTAAAAATTAGGGCTCCCCTACTGTGCCCTCCTGGCACTATGCAAATAAATAACCAAAAGGGGCACAGCTGGAGAAAAATCCGATTTCATGACAGATTCATAACTACTCCTCCCTGCCCAAGCCTCCCCCATTCTATGGCTCTTGGGACACAGCACCAGCAGGTACCTCGGTCCCCAGTAGAGTGTGGCCGGCACCAAGGCACATCTGCCTGGCCCAGGAGAGGAAACAGGCCCTGGGATCACTTGTTTCCAGCCCTTGACCCCAGACCTGCTCCCCTCGATGGCCAGGGCTGAAGCACCAATTGGAGGCACCTGAGGGTGGTAGGGAAAGGGGAGGCTAAGGAGGAGAACGGGGTAACAGAACCTAGGCAGCAGGAGCAGCTAAAGGGGGTCCAGCCCCCTCCACAGTTAGCCAGTGCCCGACTGAGGTTATGTTCCACCCCCCTTTGCCCTTGAGTCCCCTGCCCTCAGCTGAGGATCTTCCGGGGCAGTTCAACAGAGGCACGGATGAAGACTGCATCATCCCGCACATAGTTTCGCTTCCGGATATCCTGGTGAGAGATGAACTTGGGATAACCAAAGCCCAGAGAACTCTCATCCAGAGAGCCCCGCCAAGTGCCTGGCTTTTGAAAATTCTTCCAGTTTGGGTCAGGGTGGAAGGTTTCAGTGACATGCTGTGGTTTAGCCAGCCCAGGGTCACTCTGATCCAACAGAGAGAAGGTGACACGGCGGGCAAAGGGCCACTCAAGGAGATTGTCAAAGGCGCCAGGCAGCACACGAATATAGAGTGAGAGGTGCGTGCCCTCACCACTGCCATTACCGTTGAGGAAAGCGGACACCTGCAGCTTGTAGCCATATCTATGTGTGTAGAAGGCTGGGCTGAAACACTCTAGGTTGGGCTTGGCCTTGGCCTCCTGCAGCCGACGCCCATAGCTGCCAATCTTCCAAATGAGCACACCATCACTGCCCACCGATAATTCCTCCAGCTCTCGCCGCAGCTCCTGGAGCTCCTGCCGTTGCCGACTCACCAGCGCACACATCATGGCCAGATGTGGCTTCACACTTTCCTCCACGTGCCGAGCCATTGCCACCTTAGGGCACTGTGCACAAAGCCACAATAGGAGGGAAGGAAAGAAGTTATCAGGGAGAAGGGAAGAGCGATTACAAAGTGGCTGACACCCAGTTCTAAATGAGGAAAATACAGGGCCCTAGGAAGAAACTGGTGCTGGCCAGTAAAGAGAACTGAAGGCTTCAGAGCAACCTAACAAACTAACAAGGGCCTATGATATATCAGGAAGCTGCCTCAGGAGGCTACATCTGAGGCTTCAGGGGCCAGGGAGGGTGCTGATGGGAAAAGGGACTTCTCACCCTATGCTTGCAGCCGGAGTCTTTGAATGGGCACAGCACCAGGGCAGTGCTACAGCTGTCTTTCAGGTGGACAGGGAGGTCCTCCCGAGCCACAGTGCCCACACCACACTGGTTGGGGCAAGGAACAGGCAGCCTTGGACATTGGTACTGATGGCTCTGTAAACATAAAGGCAACAGAACAGTCAGTAGCTGATTCCTGCCACTTACCCTGCACCCTTTAACCCAGAAATGGACTTACCTGAATGGTATCAAAGACAAACTCCTTAGTGCAGTAGGTGCAAGGCTGTGTACGCTTGGGACACTCAGAGGTGGCATGCTGTGCCAGCAGCCGCCGCATCATGCGGGCACCACACTTATTCTCACAGTACACGCTTTCTTGGGGGCATACACCCTCGTGGCTCTGGGAAAATAGTAGAGGGACTAAGCTAAGAAACCCTGGGCCACCAGGTACCCTTCCCTCCTTCACCCTGATCTGGGCCCCACCCACCTCATAGGCCTCCCCACTGAAGTCACAGCCACAGAACTCGCACTTGAGGCGACGCTTGGGGCAGTCATGCTGCAGATGTGCAGGGAGGTCTCGGCGGCTCAGCTTGGTGGGACAGCGATTGGGGCAGGGGATGACATTGAAGCTGCAAGTGTTCAGATGGCCCTGGTGGGAATGGCTATAGTTAGTGCCCACCAAAAGGGGGGGCAGCCACTCCTTCCCACCTCCCCTGTCCCCAGACAGTGTCAGAGCCTCACCTGTAGGTGACGAAGTGGCCCGCTCCAGCGGCAGCCCTCCTCACTGTGGATGCAGCGGATAGGCAGGCCCAACACCTGCACCTCCAGCTCGGGGTCTGGGTAAATCTGAGAGCATGAATTAGGGGAAGGGGGCTGGTCAGGGTCAGAAGCCTGTTGCAGTCTCCACATCCTTCCTCACCCCTAATTAGGCGGGCTCTGCTTTGAGTCAGTAACAGGCACCCTTGAGCTATGCAGCCCTCTTCCCCTAGTGACGTGGGGCATGATAGGTGGCGGCAGCAACTCCGGATCTCAGAATCCCCCACCCAGTTGCACACACACTCCCTTTGGAGCGGGAGCCAATCAGCCTGATCAGTCCAGGCTTCCCACCACCCAGCTCCCGCCCCCAGCTGCTTGACAGTTCCTGGCCCTCAGCCATAGGCTTGGCTTGCCATCTGAAGGGGGGGAAGCACTTCGTGCAGGCACAGAGCAGCTCTGTGCACCCCCATAAGCTGGGCATTGTGCCTGCTCTCTGGGGCAAACACAGGCCTCCAAACACGGGCCTCCGTTTGCAAACTGGCCTGGTGGGAGGGAATAAGCCCACCTTTGTTGGGACTCAAAATCCTGCAGCACTGGATTGAATTTTGGCCCTGAGCCTGCGCCAGCCTCCTCCAAGGGTAAGAGACTGCCCTCAGCCTCTGCCTGGCACCCTACTCACCTTGGCATAGTCCAGAGGAAGTTGGTCCTCAGGGCATTTGAAGACTCCTTCACTGTGAAGGGGGAGGGGACAATGTCAAGGCTCCACCTTATAGGAAGGGAGAGCTCTGGATCCCACCCCCTCAACCTGGGCACCCTCCCTCACCAGACCGGTTCCCTGGCAGCCCCATGTGAGACAAAAGGGCATGCAGAGGCCTGAGGGCACCATTTCTCCAGTATCCCTAAAGATCCCAGCTCCTTGTGCTGGAAAGGGGGGGTCCTGGGCCCAGTGGGGGCAAGGACAGCTGCTTCAGGCAGCATTTGGCCAACAGGTGGCAGCTGGCACCCCTCCCCCTCAGGATGGCAGCTAGACTAGGAAAAGAAAAAGACTGCCCTACTGCGCCCTCCTCCCAGGTTAGTTCCCATTGGCTGCACCAGGAGCCTAGGGGAAAAGAGAACAGGAATGGGAGAGATTAAGTGCCAAGGCTGCCCAGCCTACATGAGGGTGTCTAGCCAATAACCAGGGCAAAGGTCATCCTGGAGCCCCCTTTTCCCAATCTCTCCCCTCTCCTATTGAGGGTGTTTCTTCTAAAGCAAAGAGAATGAAAGACATGCCCACAAGCAGTGTTTACACTCCCACCCAGGCCTCCCCTTCTGCAGGTACAAGAACTGAGGGGTGTGGGTGAAAAAGCACTTGGACCCGGCCTGAGTCAGCTCAGATGGGCCTGACACCAGTGCACACTGGAGGCAAGGCAGAAATGTCCAGACAAGCAGAGCCTCCGGTCAGTGCCCACTAGGAATCTGAAGTGTGTTGATGCTATCAGCACCCAAAGGGCCTTCTGGCCATGCCAGCACAGCCCTGCTGACCCCAGCCAGGACCAGTCACACTCCTGACAACACTCAGGCAAGGCAAGGGCTCACCCTGCAGGACCAATGGCCCTGGGGCATGGCATTCCTGGCAGGTCTGAAGCAGGTAGGTGGTAGGAGGCAGGATCAAAGTGGGAGCTGAGGCCTGATGACAGCCTCATCCATAAGATGCACCCCCAGACCCTGGGCAGTTTTTGCCTCAGGAACCCATAAGATTTCTTGTATCACCTCCTTCCCCTGACCCTACCACCACTGGTCATGCCACCAGTGCCAAGAACAGTGCATGCCCAGGCACTGAAGGGTGTGTTCATGCCCACAGGCAGCTAGCCTCCTGGACCATCCTGAGTAATAGCCTGGCAGGAGCCAGGAAAGTGAGGTGGGCTGAGGGGAGGGGGCCCACTTGGAGGCTTCAGGAATGTGCTGACTTAGTGGTTTAGAGACAGGGAGGGGACTGTGGCAAGTCCCCAAGCTACAGACAACAGCTGAGTCTGGACAGCTTGGGGGCCAGCCAGAGCCATGGACACCCTTAGCTGGTGGGCAGTGAGGGGCACAAACTGTCCAGTTCCAGGCCAGGCAATAAGGGGCATTAGAGAATGCCTCAGTACAGCTGGAGATGGTAGGTGGGGGAGGTGGAGAGGCAGGGGCAGAGGCTGCTCAAGGCTGCAGAAGAGGCCCAGGGGAGAAGACAGGATGGGGGGGAGGGCTCGAGAAAAGGAAGAGGGGATTTCCGGGAGGGGGAGGGGCAGGAGCAGCCCAAGAGAGGGCTGAGAAGGATGTGGAGGGAAACCAGCTTGACAGCCCCCTCCCTCCTCTACCCTGAGGCAATGGGGTGGGTCAGCTGGGGGGAGGGGGACTAAGCTGGCCTCATCTGGAAACCAGAGGGCTGAGGAAGGTCCACGGAGCAGACAATGGGGCTGTGTCTGGAGGGGAGTGAGTGTGTACACTGGAAGGAGGGGAGGAGGGGGAAGCACCCGCAGCTTTCGCTGGAGCATATGTGAGGGCAGGAGCCGGCCTGAGCAGCAAGGAACAGAAAACAAAGGGCCTGCGCGATTTCTGCAGGCGAGGACGAAGGCAGGAGGCACAGAAGGCAGGGAATGCGCCCCCAGTCTGGACCCTTCGATGCCCTCGGCCAGGCACCAGTGGCTGACCCATCAGCCTTCGGTGCGCCGAGGGCACAACTTCACCAGGAGTGCGGGTCCCCCATCTGGTCTCCCCACATCCCCATCCTGAACAGTGCGCCTGGTTAGGAGGTTCAAGACAGGGTGCCCAGAAACTGAAAAGATGCCCAAGAGCCAAGGGGTGACTGGCATCGTGAGAAGGCGGGTGGGGGTGGGAGGCTTTCTGTAACACCAGGCTGCGACTCCTCACTTTATTGACCATCATCCCCGGGGAGGGGAGCCAGGCAAAGGGCTCCGGCTGCAGAGTCCCCCGTGCTTCGCTTTGTGCGAACACCAGCAGCCAGGCTTAAATCCAAGCTAAGCTTTTAAGTAACAGTGTGACCCTGGGCAAGTCGCAATCTTTCTCTGACTCTCTTGTTTCATCATCTGTGAAATGGGAGAACAATAGCTGCTGTTCTCGGAATGTTCCAAAAATTAGAAAAGGTTAGACGGCAGAAATTACGGGGGCTTCTAGTGCCGCACGGAGGAGGGTCTGGTTTTGTTCGTCCCCGAACGAGTGAGTCAAAGTTCACGGAAGAGGCCGCTCTCGTCCCAGGTGAGGGGGAAGGGCCGCAGCGGGTCAGAGAGGGCGTCCTTCGCCATCGCCCGTCCTCCCGGAGAAGGATTCTCCGGACCAGGCGCGAGTGGCCGCGGCCACGACCTTATGAAATGGGGCCCAAGGTACTCCCTGGGCCTTGACGTCACCACCGCCCGACGTGACGTCACGGCTAGCGCCCCTGAGGTCATAGGGCTGCAGAGCAGACAAAGGCACGGGGCGCCTCCGGCCCGAGCCCCTCACCATGCGGTGTCCCTCCCATCCCCGGCCTCCCCCTTACTCCCAGTCCGCACCTGAGGAACTCCTGCAGGCAGGTGTCGCAGAAACGGTGGCCGCAGGTAGAAACCTGCACGGGCTCGCGCATGGGCTTCCCGCACAGCGGGCACAGGAGCCGCCGCTTGGGCTTCTCCAGGAACTTGTAGTCGAAGCCCGGCATGACGAGCGGGCGGCGGGCACGGGCGAAAGGGGCCGGGCACGAGGCGGCTACACAGCCCGCGCCTCGCTCCGGCCGCGCTCCCGGCTTCGGGCGGCGCCGACTGTCGGCCGTGATCCCGGCCCGGCCCGCGAGCCCTCCCGCCGGAAGAGGGGGCGGAGCCGCGCCCGCGCGGTCCTAGTGCCCCGGCCCCGCCCACCCGGCCAGCTCACTGCTTCGGGGGCGCAGTGCCGCACTCGCCCCGGGCCACAGCAATTAATCCGTGTCGCCCACTCTTTAAAGCAGGGCTCCTTTTTTCCCGACGCATTGGGTCATGGCTCCATTTCTCTTCAGAACTAAGGAGGACCTGGTGCCCAGCTCCAGAGGGTGGGGAGGGGCGTAGGACAGAGAGCCCCAGTGCTCATGTAAAGTGGGCGGGCCGCCACAAAGGATCGCCTCTCCAGAGTCAACAACTGGGTCTCCCGGGGGCCACGCGCCGCCCCGGGGCCCCACCTTCCAGGTGCTAGGCAGCGGAGGCCTGGCAACCAGGCCCGGGAGTCCGGCTGGAGCTGAGAGGCCGGGCCTGGCGCTGGGCCAAAGGAACCTCGGCCCCAGGCTCCAACTGCGCCCACATTCCTCCATGGGCCGTGGCCTTGCAACCGAGGTCGGGCCCAGCCCAGCCCCACCCTGGGTTGTCTGGACAGTACCTCTACCCCCTAAAAGACCACAGTGCAGACAGGCAGCTGATGTTTTTATTGATGCTACTTCCCATTCCTCTGGGAAACTGGTCTAGTCCAACCAGCTTCAAAACTAATTGGGGTAATGGCGTGGGGTGATGAGCAACTTTCAGCCGGGATCCCCTCTGCTGTAGACATATCTGAGCCTTGTACTCCCACATGGGAAAGCTCAGAGGTTGTGTAAATCCCAAAGGATAGGGATGGGGCAGATATATGGCAGTGTTCTCTTCCTGCCCTAGCTGAGGCAGATGCCGCCTGTCTTGGCGTGCCCTGCTCCATGGAGACACCAGAACTGATTTTCTTTTTTTTTTTTTTATTTTATTTTTGTGTGAGTGTACCGTCAAATCAGATCTGACTGATACAGGAGGAGATTGTCCCTCCTTCCCCGGCAGAGCATCTGGTGGATTCGAACCATGTGCCTCTGAGATTGTAGTTGCAGCTCCTTGCCACTAGGCCACCAGAGCTCCCCAGAACTGATTTTCTAACTGGACAGAATGTAGCCACTGACATTTCTAGTCTTTTTTTTAATCTTTTTCCTTTTAAAGGCTAACTCTGCCTTCAACTCCACCAGGCTGGACCTCAAGACAATGAATTAAGGGAAGTGGAAGTGAGGTGGGAAAAGAGAAGTCCTGGCTTCGGTTTCTGAGACTTAAGAGCTTCATTGGCCCTTCTGCCCCATTAGTGACAGTTGAGAAAGCTGGTGGGGACATTCGTGCCTCAGGCACCTGTGCTTTTCAGGAACATTCAGAGGAGATGAAATTACCAGCGTGATGGAGAAGATATGCAGGTGCCTCATGGTGGGACTGGCTCATCAGTGACAGCTGGAGGACACGGAGGAGAAACCCCTGCAGCTTCCCAGGGGGGCAATGACCACCCACCTCCAATTCCCATACTGAGCCTTAGATTCTGAACTCCTCCAGACCAGAAACGGAGGTTCAATCCATTAAGAGGAGAAAGTGGAGTGCAGTCCTTCAGTAGGACCCATGCAGCACCTCCCCTTGCCCAAACCAGGCTGGAAGCTCTGTTTCACCCCTCAGCTTCTGCTTTCATTTGTCTGGGACTGAGAAGCTTGAGGTGACTGGGCATGAGTGCCCAGTGGGGTTAACTCTTTTGTGGGTGGGGTGAGAAAAGTTATAACTCACAGCGAACAGCCAAAAGAGTGTTTCCATGGCAACAGGACACGGAGGTCACTGTGTAGGGGTGTGTCTCATCCAGCTGCACTGGCCGAGGGAGTCCAGCATCCTCATCTCGCCTTCCCAGTCGACCTCGGGCCCCTTTGCCCCAAGAGTACACCTCACCTTCTGTCAAAGAATATCCAAGTCAGGTAGTTGGAGAGGTCATGGCTTGGGCAGGCAGCCTTCTTCCAGAATGCCCTGAATATGAATTTGCTGAGCCCAGCAGCTCTAAGCATGCAAATATGGACCTGCTGCCCATCTTTGTCTGTTCTCATGGTACCCACTCCTCACCTGTTCCAATGGCTACAGTGAAGGCATCACCACAGGCCACCACTGCCACCTTGATTCCCTGGACCCGACAGGGCACCCGGCTGCTCCGGGGAGCACTGGTACCCAACTGTCCATGCTGATTGCTGCCAAAAGTGTAGCAGTCACCTGAGGCTACAGAGTGGAAGGGGGGAAAGGTTCCTGAGCCAAACTGCCAAAGACAGGTGAGCCCACCTCTGGCATCCTGTGCCCAGGTTTTACTCACCAGTCACAGCTGCTGAGTGAGCAGTGCCCAGGTCCACACTCAGCAGGGGCTCCAGGTCCAGGGGTGCAGAGCCCAGAGGTGTGAAACTCAGAGCCTCTTCCACTTGTTGGTGGGGGGCAGGCTCCTCTCTCAGTGAGAGATGGTCCAGGCCCAATTTGTTGAACCTGAGAGCAAGCCAGAAGCCAAGTCCAACTGATCAACTGTTTGTATAGGCTTCTCTGCCTCCACCTGCCTGGGAAGGAGCTGGTTTGCCAGAACACAGAACTAATCCTTGCTGTTGTAGCTGTTAGGTGTCATCATGGCCAATATGACTCATAGGAACCCTTTGAACAACAGATCTGAACCCTGTCCTGTCCTGTTCCTGTGCCATCCTCATCTCTAACACACTTGAACCCAGTGTTGCAGTCACTGTGTCAGTCCACCTGGTTGAGGGTCTTCCTCTCTTTTGCCATCCCTCCACCAGTCCAAGCAGGATGTCTCTCTCCAATGAATAGCCTAGCTGCATGCCCAAAGGATATCTCTCCCTCCAAGGAGCACTCTTGGCTGCACCTTCTCCAAGACATATCTTTTTGTTTTTTTTGGCAGTCCATGGATATTCAGTACTCTTCTCCAACACCACAGCTCAAAGGCATTAATTCTGTCATTTAGTATCTAGCTCTCAGCAACATAGCAAATGATTGAAAAGACCATGGAAGGTACCATCAAGATGACTCATAGCAACCTTATGAACAACAGATTTGCACTGTCCTGTCCTGCACCATTCTCCACTATCTCAGTATGCTGAGGCCCACTGTTATATTCACTGTGTCAATCCATCTTGTTGAGAGTCTTCCTCTCTTATAATGACTCTCCACCTTCCCAGCATGATGTCTTTTTTCCTAGGACTGGCCCCTCCTGACAATATTCCCGAAATATATTAGACAAAGCTTCACCACCCTCACCTCTAAAGAAGCACCCTGGGTGCCTTTCCTCCACGACCCCACTCCATTCTGGCTCTCAGAAGAAGCAATGGCAGACAGAGAACTAGCAGCCAGTGAGTGTCGGGGAGCTGACTAGTGCCCCCAGTACACCTGCTCACCTGTTGCTCCCACAGGCGAGGGCTTGGCCCAGTACTGTGAGGACCATGGAGGAGTCGATGCCACATACAACCCGCTGGGCTTCCTGACCTGGGGGCATAGGCACCTGCTGGGGGCAGCTGTGGGACTCCCTGGTGCCTAATCCCAGCCGGCCTAAAGGAGAAACCAGGAGCAGCATGAGCTTCAGAGCTGGTGACACCTGCGTGAGGAGGGCCACATAAAGGAGCAAAAGCTATTCCTTGGCTTGAAATGACCTTCGCGAGCCTCTCTGCCAGTCAAAATTCTACTCCTCCTCCTTTTTAAGGTCCTGTTTAGACTCAGATGCCACTTGTCTCCTCTAGGTGAAATCCATTGCCACTCCTTGACTTCCCACACCTCTAAGCCTGGGCACCGCCCCATTGCCCTCTATTGTAATGGAGATGTGTCATCTTCCCCTCACTAGACTCAGTCCTCCATGAGGACAGGAATCCCATCTATGTCATCTATTTTCAATGCTTGGCCAGAGAAAGCCTCAATAAATGTTGGGTAAATAAGATTCCCTTCTTCCACTGCAAGCACCACATCTTGCCTCAGCACCCAGCACAGGGTGGGCACACTGTTGTTGTTGTTGTTGATTGCTGTCGAGTCGAGAACGACTCATAGTGACCCTATGACCAACAGACCTGAAGGCTTTTGATAACCATCATTTCTCAAAGTTCATAGGGTTTCCAGAGGCATGTTGTTTAGGAAATGGGTGCCACTCCTGCTCCCAAAGGACACATAGTGGTTGTGTAATAAAGGTTTGATGAATAAATGAATGAATGGAACTAGAGAGGACTAGGAGAAGAGACTGAGCTGTGGAGCAAAGATGAATGTAAAAGGGTATGGATGAGAGTAGCAGCTGCTTTGAGACAGAGTACAGAACCTGGAGCAAGAACAGGGAGCTTACCAGCATCTCCTCGGCCCCAGGCAAAGAGTTCTCGCTCGGTAGACAGGGCTAGTACGTGAGAGGCCCCACAGGCCACCTGCACCATCTCATACCCCAGCAGGGCCTCTACAATGGTGGGCTGGAGAGAAAGGGAAGGTTGTGAGCACGGAGTCTGGGACCGGCTGCCTGGTTTCAGTGCCTTCCATATGGATGAAGCTGAAGGCTGCAATGTCCCATAAGCTGTCTCTTTAACACTTACCCCACCCGCAACATATTCAGAGACAGCCATGTGGTCAAGCCTTTGGGGAAGCTGAGCCCTTCTGTACTTTCCCTGATGCAGTCCCTAACAGGTGCAGGCTGCGAGTTAAGAGGGACTCGTGGCTACATGGGATTCCCCTGCTTCCAGCCTGGGCATCAGCTCTCAGTTGTGGGCTCCTTGTCATTCCCCTACTTCTCCCCCCCCCCCCGCCCCAGTACATGTGACACTCACCTGGCTGATGTCAGTGAGACTTCCATGGCCTAAACATCCATTGCTGCCACTGCCAAAGGTCATGATGATACCTCGATCTGGGGAGGTGGAAAGGGAAAGGGGCGGCTAGGCAGCTTTTCCAGAAACTGTGAATTAACAAGACAAAATCACAGCCACTACCTTTGAGTTGGTTCTAACACCTAGTGACCCTCCATCAGCTTCCCAAGACTACACATCTTTATGGGAGAAGACTACCTATCTCCCCACAAAGCGGCTGCTGGATGCAAACTGCCAACTTTTTGGTTAGCAATCCAATAGGTTATGAACTATGCCACTTGGCCTCCTTACCTTGAGCTAAGGGAAGCAGAGAAAGCTGGGAACTAGGGCTAGAAGGATACGATGTGAAGGGGGGAAATGTGTAGCTTTGTGCAAGTGACTTAGCCTCTACATCCAAGCCTTAGTTTCTCTGTCTGTCAGATGCGAATAATGTAACTTGCTAGGTCTGTTATGAAGAGTAGAGAGGATTTTGTAAGTAATGGCCCTGGCCACTCTGATAAGTGGGAGATAAAAGCACTAAATCAGCAGTTGGCAAATGGCGAGCAATGAGAAAGCTGTTCTGGCAGCCCGTTCCTGGGGAGGGGGAACGTTGGCACAGACCAGTTCCTTGATGAGCTCACCAGTCAGGCAGGCAGTGAAGAGGTCCCCGCAGGCCACGTGCTTAATAGTCACGCCTGACTGGCCCTCCAGGAAACGTGAGATGAACTGGGGTTGCTGCAGTTCCAAGGCTCCTGGGAGGAGGACGCCCCCACCAGCGCCTAGGGGAGGAGCCTGAAGAGAACAGACAAGGAAAGTGGCTGATAAGAGTATATATACTCAGAGTATATACACTCAAGAGTATACACACACATACGCCTACATTTCCTTGAGGTGCCCCACCCAGCCCCAGCCTGCTCACCTCCCATAAGATGAGACGCCCAGAGCGCGTGACACCAGCCTTCTGCGTGCGCCCAGCGGCCACCTGGACTATTTCTGTGTTGAGCATCGGCAGCCGCAGGGGGGTACTGAGCCCACCACCCCAGGCATACACAGAGGACAGAGGTGGGGGGATAGCAGGCCGCGCAGGACCCCGGGGCACCCCTGTGGGAACAGATTTATGAACTGACAGGAATATCGGATACCCAGGAGACCCATGTGGCCTGCCCAACTTACCCCTGCAGTGGGCGCTGGTGGTCCTTCCCCTTGCACTGCCAGGGGCCATAGGTGATCCTGTTGTCAAGGACTTCTCTGCCCTGTAGATAGATACCATCAGGACGAGAACCCTCTCCAGCATTACCAGGGAGGAATGGAGGACTCACTCAATGGGCTCTCTACCCCAGGTCTCCTATGCTCCCCACAGAGTGTGTCCCTCTCTGCTCCTGCCATCCAGGCCTCCCTCTTCCCTCTCTCCCCCAGGTCCCCTCCTGGTACAGACCTCCGCATGCGGACACTGCCCACATCGGTGTGAAGGTTGAGAAGGGCACGGATGCAGAGGGGCTGCGCCATGATGTGGCTGAGGGGTGGCCGCTGTGCAGGCTCCAGGCTGAGCAGGCTGAGGACAAGCTGGCGCAGCTCAGGGCTGTATCGGTCAGAGATGGGTGCAAAGGTGCCACTCATGATCTTCAGCACCAATGCTGGGAGATTCTGGGAGGGCACCAAGTTTGGGTTTGGTTGGGGAGCTGGCCTCTTGGGTCAGCAGGGTCTCTAGTTCCCAGCCCTAGACCTAGTCTAATAGAAGAGCCATAGCTATCTATCTGTTTGGTGAGCAGAACTCCAGAATGCCAGCCTCAACCTCCACCTTTAGAAATCCCTGGTCTAGGGAGCTCTGGTGGCCTAGTGGCAAGATACTGCACTGTAATCTTAGAGGTATGCAGTTCAAATCCACCAGATGCTCTGCTGGAGAAGGAGGGGGCAATCTCCTCCTGTACCAGTCAGATCTGATTTGATGGTACATGTAAAAATAATACAATAAAATTTTTTTTAAAATGAAAAAAAAAAAAAATCCCTGGTCTGATGGGGGAGCTACAGCTGTCTTCAGAACCCTCAAGTTGTTGCAAAACCTCATTTTGCTCCTGACAGTCCTCTAATCTAATGGAGCCATGACCTTTATCCTCTGTAACTCTCAGGCTGAGGGACTCAGCCCAGCTCTGTGCTAATCCATCAATCTGATATGGGAAAATCATGACTCAGCCATAAGTGAAAAAACCAGAAATGGTTCAAGTGGAGAGCTTCTTAGGAAGCAAAGTAGAGGTTTCGAAGCCGTCCCCTTGGGCACGTATATGGCTCACACTCACCGCAGCCTCAAAAGCCCTCTTGAGACTGGCCAATTCGTAGAGAACACAGCCTAGGGCCCAGATATCACTCTTCTGATTGTAGGGTTTGCCCTCACACAGCTCAGGAGAGATGTAGCATGGAGTGCCGACCACCTACAGCAGGGAAGCCAGTATTACAGCCCTGGAGATGGGGAGATGCAGCTTTTCCCCACAGCAGTCCAAGATCCTTCCATCTGCAGAAAGACCCAAACAGGAGCCAGGCAGCCAAGGTCTTGGGGAAGGGGGAGGAAGAGGAAGGCAGGAATGAATATACAGTGGATCTTGGCCCCTAAGACCTCCAGCACTCTGAAGGTCCCCCTCCATGGCCAGGCACCGTGTAGGCCTTGCTTTTGCTGCTAAGGATCTTGGAGATGCCAAAGTCGCCAATCTTGACAAGCATGCGATGCTTGTCAAGAAGAATGTTCTGGGTCTTGAGGTCCCGGTGCAGGATGAGGTGGGTGTGCACATGATGTAACGCGAGCAGGATCTGCACAAAGAAGTGCAGGATGGTCTCCTCCTCCAGCAGGGAATTGCAGCGCTTCTGGATGAACTCAGCCAAAGTGCCACCTGTGACCACAAAGGGGCTGGTCAGAAGCCAGGATTTTCCATCCCTGGGACAATTCTCCCCCTTCTATGGACTACTACATCGAGGCTCTGAGAGACTCGCAATCAAACATATTCCAAAGCAGAAGGCTGGGCAATCTGTATCTGTTGGTCCCAAGGGCAAGGGGCCCGTTGACTCAGTCCAATAAAAGGAAGCTGGGCCCACCTGGTGCATATTCCATGGCGATCATGAGGGCCTTGTCCTCCAGGAAGTTCTCATAGTATTCGATGACATTGGGGTGGTTGAGCAGCTTGAGGACCTGGCACTCATTCTGGGCTGCCTGCCGCTCTTCCTTAGTCATCTGCTCTACGGGGATCTGCTTGATGATTACCAGCTTCTGGTCAGCCTTGCGCAGACACAGGTGGACAATCCTGGGAACACAGTGTACAGCAGCGGGCACAGCTGAGCCTCCAGGCACAGGTCAGTTGGATCAGATGTGATGCCTAGCTGGTTCTTGGCAGCACAGAATGGGCACTCATAACAAAGAAGCCTTGGTGGCACAGTGGCTCAGCTGCTAACCAAATGGTTGTCAGTTCAAACCCACTAGCCAATCCAGATGACAAAGATCTGGCAGTCTATTTCTAGAGATTTCAGCCTCAGATGTCTCCCAGGATACTTCTCCTCTGTCCTCTAGGTGTTACTATGAGTGAGAATAGACTCAGTGGCACTGAGTACCGAGTGCCAGGAACAATGAGCTTAAGAACTGAAGGAATGATCATAAACTTGGTATATGACCTTAAGCAAATCAATGAACTTATCTGAGACTTAGTTTTACTACAATGAAGAAAAAATAAACTTGATCTCTGTTGTTGCACGTGCTATTGGGTCAACTACACATAGTAACCCTATAAACAAAGGACCTGAACCCTGTACCATCTGCACCATCTCCGAAAGACTTGAGCCCACTGTTACAGTTACTCTGTCAATCCATCTCATTGAGGGTCCTCCTCTCTTACCCTGACTCTCCACTTTTCCAAGCATAACGTCCTTCTCTAAAGACTGACTCCTCCTAAGAACCTGATCTTTAAGTTCACATAACAGTCCTTGGCTGGTACAATCAGTTAACATGCTCAGTTGCTAACCAAAAGATTGGCTGTTTAAGGCCACCCAGAGACACCCTGGAAGAAAGACTTATTATCTACTTTTGAAAAATCAGCCACTGAAAATCCTATGAAATACCATTCTACTATGATACACAAGAGGACTCTATGAGCTAGAGTCCACTGTTGCTGTTTTTTTAAGTTCTCTCAGACTCTGGAGTTAATTGCTTGGGTTCAAACCCAGGACCCTCCTATTAAGTAAGTTGCTGGTCTTAGATAAGTTATGTGACATTATCAAGTGGCAAATAGGGGTAATACAGATCAGCTTCATAGTGTTTACTAAATGTAAATGAAAAATTAATATAAGCCACTGAGCAATTGGCTGGCACTTAAAAAATAGTGAATGTAAACAATCCACATTATTATTTCATTCCAACTCTGTAGTTAGTCTTCATCACAGCAATGACTACACGGTTCCTGTTTACTTCGAAGTCTCCAGGGCATAGTTCAATAAATATTTACTGAATAAATGAAGTTATGAGCTGATCTCAAATCTGTATCAACAGTACTGACCTCTTTTTTTTTAAGTACGTCTATGACTCCCAGATGCTTTGCACCTCCACCTGAATAAAACCCCTGAATGCTTTCAGAGCTGATTCCAACTCAAAGCAATCCTTTATCATGTTTCAGAGGCTGCAAAACTTTATATGAAGAGACTGTCCACCTTTCTTCCAAGAAGTGGCTGGTGGATTTGAACTGCTCTGGTTAGCATCAAAAGATGTATTACACTACCAGTGGTCCTTGAATGGCTTAGATATCTTGAGTTGGTTCTCACTTATCGTGATGCTCCATTGGGTTTCTGAAGCTATAAATCATAAGAGGAGGAGCCTGTCCATCTTTCTTCCCTGGAGCCTCCAATGGATTCAAATTACCAGAGCACCTGGCTTAGCAGCACAGCTCACTAAGGACTATTACCACCAGAGTTCACTTAATGCCTCATATGCAATTACTCACTGCCATTAATCAGAACTGACTCATAGCTGATCCTCCAGTGGGTTTTCAGAGGATGTAAATTGCTTGAGAGGAGATTATTCCTCTTTCTGCTGTAGAGCAGTTGGCTGATTACCAGCACAACTCATTATCACCAATTTGATGATATCACTCATTATCAGTACTTTTCACACTTGTTGACTTCAAACCTTAAGTTCCACACAGCAGCCAGTAACATTTTGAAAACTCTCATCAGGCCATTCCTGTTTAAATGTTTTCTCATTACATAATAAATAAACTCAATCTTAGCTTAAAAGGACGGTACAGTCCCATTATTCTGACCTAAAGACTGTATGTCTCTGACAGCTCAAATCCACCAGTAACCCCAGGAGAAAGTCGGGCAGTTTCCTCCCATTATGATTTTACAGCCTCAGAAACCGATTGACAGCAGTGACTTTGAGTTTCTGAAAAGGCCATAATCTATTCCCAATCTACAATGACTTCCTTTTATACCATTCCCTACTCCCAACTAGTCTTGTTTTAGTTCCTTTAGTGCTCTGCATTTCCCCCCCTCCTGAGGACCTTCGTATTTACAGCTTCCAGCATTTAAAGATCTCTTCACTTTCCAACTACTTGAACTTATTCCTCAAAGCCTGCCTTTAAACCTCACATCTCAGAAAAGCCTTCCAAAACCAATTCCAAATTAATATTCTCTTTGCCACTTGGCCATAATTTCCATAACTGCTATAACTTCCTAACTCCTTTTTAACAATGTGTCCTGTTTATTCCATAGTTTGCTCCTATCGTGTGGAAACTTTGAGAAGGAGGAGACTACTATGATTATAACCGGACTGAAGTACATGACTCTTACAAATGCCACTCAGTATTTGTTGAATGAATAAGAAACCAAAAAGGCTCTGCGGGAACGCCCACGCTCCGTTGGGGGCGTGACCCAAGAACCACCGGGGGCGTGGCCTCACTGAAGCTGAGCCTCCCGCCAGATCTGAAACCGGAAGCCTGGGTGGGGCTTCATAGAGTGGGCGCTTACTATGGGGGCGGGGCTAACTGGGCAACTATTTCACGGCCAGCGCCAAGGCTTATTTTCCATCTTCCCAAACAATTTCCTCCCTTACAACCCTGTCTCACCCGAATGCACCTCTTCCCACCACGCGGATCCGCTCGTACTTCTCCATCTCACTTCTCAGAGTTACACTTCGTGAACCCTTCACATCTAGGAAGAGCGCATGCGCGGACTCGCCCACTCTAAAGACGCGACTTGCGAGACTCTCGCAGGGCGGAGCAAGTGGAATTCGGATCTTAATTCCTCCTTAGGCACTTAACAACAACAACAATTCCTCCTGTGGACCTGGTTGGTTTGCACTACTTGGGTAATTTCTCTTCGATCCACTCCTCCAGGAGTCTCTGAATGGGGCAATAGTACTACTTCTTGTCTTACCTGCAGTTACTGGCACAGTATCTTCTCTTTCTACACACTTAGCCAGATTCAATGATTGCAAAGCCTGGATTACCCCCCTTATTAGACCAGGTACGAGTGGGAAGCGAATATCCACCCGCCTCTGTTCATGAGTGACGTTGTTTAGAAAGAAGAAAGCAGATTCTTATTAACAGGAAAGCGTCAGCGCTCTCAGTCTGCGGGCCATAGAGCCGGGTTAGTTTCGTGTTTGTCTAGGGAGAGGCTGGGGAAATCCCGAGCAGTGCAGGTTGATTCACCTGGAGAGGATGTGACAAGGTTTCTAAGCTTCCAGCACTGCGTTTGTCACATGTGCACACACACACACAGCTGCCCCAGGGTGCCCTCAACTTTAAACTAGAATGATATCTCTGTTAGAGGAGGACATGGAAGGGAGGTGAACTACCTGAAAGCGTCAGGAAAGGGCAGAGGGCTGGAGGATGTCCAAGGCTTTTTTGTCCAGAGGTAGAATTGCTGGCTAGTATTCCCTTCCAGGCTCTCTTCTTCCATGAGAGCTCCATAAAATTTAAATTGTAAGAGGAAGACGGTGATTAGTTGAAAGTTAGCGTCTCTATATCTGAGTGGGTGAGGAATGTTTGAGGGTAAGGTGTGCCTCTCCTCTGTCCCCGTCCTTTGAAACCCAAACCAACTCGCACAGAGTGACCACGAGAGCGCTTTTGTCCCTGGCATTGGACGTTGTTGGCAAGAAGATAAAGTTATCCTGAAAGCAAATGGGTGCACAGAGAAAGAAAGCTGCTCACCGAGACATTCGTGATCTCGCTTAGAAACCAACCTGGTCACAGAGGTTAATGTGTAACCTTGGAGGCATCAAGGGGAGGCAAAACAAACACCCAAATGGCTTAGTCCTAGGGTCTCTGGCGCCTCGGACTTAAAGCTTCTTCCTCCCTACCGCACCACCTTTCCCCTTGCCCTTGCCTTGCCTCGTTACTCCGCTAGTGCTCAGCAGCTGCTCTTCCCTTGGCCCAGTGTCTGCTAATTTTCTCCATAATCAACTGCCACGCTAATTACAAATGGGGGACCCTCACCACCGAGGACAGGCTGACACCTAGTGGCCACAGGCTGCAATTGCTCCAGACCCTTGGCCTAGAGTGACGATCACCCCAGCAGCCTGGACAAATCGTCTTCGCTGTTCCAGCCTCTAGGGAACTGGGAGAAGAGGGCTGGGACTGTCTGAGGGAGGGTTGTGACAACCGTTCGTCCCCAAGAGCCCAATAGCAGCAGGGAGGAGGTGGGGAAGGGTGATGTGTTACTTAATAGTTTCTAAGAACCCACGTGGCGGAAGTGAGGGGAGGGGAATAGGGGCAGGTAAGCACATCCACCTCTGGTTACTAGAAGCTAGCTAGTGGTCCGGTGCAGGAACGTCAGTGCAGGCCCCTCACTAGGGCTTAGGGTACATGGATAGGTATCGGGTACCGCCCAACCTCTACACAGTAAGGAGTTGAGGGCGGAGAGAGTGTTTTCTCAGTCTCCGCCCAAGGCGGGGAAGCCGGTGGCTCCCGGGAAAGTGGGGACGCCGGTTAATGAGGCCAAGCGAGCAAGGGTCAGAGGGGACTCCGTCGGCAGTCGGGAGGCGCCAGCGCGGGGTGCCTGGGCAGCAGCGCCTCTGGGATAGCACGCCCCTCGCCGCCATCCAAAGTCATCGGGGGGCCAGGCGGGGCCCAGGAGGCCCGGGGGAAATGGGGCGAGCGCCCTCTCGGCTGCTCAGGCGCCAGAGGGGCGGGGGCAGGCAGCCGGGGCGGGGCGCGGGCGACCGTGGGTGGGGGCAGAGGCCGCGGGGGGAGGGCCCGGGAGGAGCCAAGGGGCCTAAAGGGCTCTAAGAAAACTGTGCGAGGCTGGCTGCCGGCGGGAGGGCCGGCGGCCGCGAGAGAAGTGTCTTGTACCCACTGGCGGAGCAAGAGCCCGGTCCCGGAACAGTCGATAGAGGCCGCCTAGAGGACAGACAGACAGACGGCAGAGAGGGCCAACATGCCCCCTATGCTGCACCCCGCCTTGTTGCTGCTACTGGGCGCCACGCTGACCTTCCGGGCGCTCCGGCGTGCGCTCTGTCGCCTGCCCCTGCCTTCGCACGTACGTGCCGACCCTCTGCGCACCTGGCGCTGGCACAACCTGCTCGTCTCCTTATCCCACTCCATAGTTTCAGGAATCTGGGCACTACTTTGGTGAGTAAGCAACCGGGTGGTAAAGGAGGCTAAGGGATGCCTGTACGGGGTGCTGGGACCAGGTCCTTCTACTTTACTACATCACTTGTGGATCGTCCGAGGCCCTGTAGTCGCACCTGAGTCTTTATTTTGGAATCCTATCTAAGCAGGAGCACAAGCGGGCCCAAGGGAGGGGATCTCACCTGGGAAACCAGAAGCACCTGGGTTCCAGCCAAGCCCCTCCTCACTCCCCAGGCAGCCAATAGCGCAAACGGCTGATCCAGACACCCCCAGGGCTGGCAAGTGACTGGGGAGCTGCCGGTCTTTGGGGATGTTGAAATGGCAGCCACCCTTTTTCTTTCCCTTCCAGTATATGGCAGACCCCTGAAATGCTGGTGGAGATAGAGACGGCATGGTCGCTCTCTGGCTATCTTCTAGTTTGTTTCTCTGCAGGTAGGTCTTGGTGGGGCAACTTTAATATTCCTCCTTCACTTGGCACGTTTGTAGCAACTTTTCAGTCTTTTTTCATGATCTCTTCTTCCATCAGGGTACTTCATCCATGACACGGTGGACATCCTGGTGAGCCATCAAGCCCGAGCTTCTTGGGAATACCTTGTCCATCATGTCATGGTAAGTGAGAAACAAGGGCTGGGGTATAGACCTGGTTCTGGTGGCTTACTCTCAGACCACTCTTAACTTATCCCTGGTTCTGCCCACATCCTAGATATTCTCTCATGCCAGGAGCAGAGAGGCAGAACTGTCCCTGTGCTCATTGGGTTCAAGGCTTGTAATCTTCAACCCATTACCTCCTTATATATTCCACTAGAAATTAAGATTTTTAACCATGTTGAATAGAATAAGTGGCCGTACTTCCAGATTGCAGGAAAGGTTTGGCATCTGAGATCCCTAACCTGCCCTCATTTGCCTCCTAGGCTATGGGTGCCTTCTTCTCAGGAATCTTCTGGAGCAGCTTTGTTGGTGGGGGCGTCCTAACACTGCTGGTGGAGGTCAGCAATATCTTCCTTACTATACGCATGATGATGAAAATCAACGATGCTCAGGATCTCCTCCTCTACCGGATCAACAAGTACATCAACCTGGTCATGTACTTTCTCTTCCGCCTGGCCCCACAAGCCTACCTCACCCATTTCTTCCTCCGTTACAAGGACGAGAGGAACCTGGGTACCTTTCTACTGGCCATCCTGCTCATGCTGAACATAATGATCCTCATCTACTTTTCTCGACTCCTCCGCTCGGACTTCTGCCCTGAGCGTGTTCCCAACCGGAAACACAAAGATAAATTCTTGACAGAGTGAGACACAGGGCCTGGGACACATAAGGCCAGCAAACACAGCCAAGAAGCGCACCCTCACAAACTGGAATTTTGCCCCAAACATAGGGTGTTTTTTTGTGGCCAACTCTAACCTCAGGCACCCACATCTATAGAAGTACTGCTCTGAAGTGCTTGTCCTTTCTAAGGCAAGAGGTGAGGAAAGCAGACAGACTGGTTGGACATGGTAGATAGGTGTGTGAAGGGTGCTACCGAAAAGCCAGCCAACCCACACACTGCCTTGAAAGGGATGCTAATGAAAATGGAAATTGTCCTTCCTCCCCTGTTAACTCTGGTTATTGCTTTCATACAGATTTTTCCAGGGATAAAGGGGTCCTTTTAAAACATTTTGTTCTTTGCCTGTTTGGGGATAACTAACCAGATTCTGGTAACCTAGCAAATAGACAGGTATGAACTGAGGGATAAAGCTGCCCTGAGAGATAAAGATGGGCAGCCTCTTAAAAACTCCCTGGAGGGGCAGCTATGAGAATACATAGCATTAACTGCCACCACCAGGATTTTAATATTGTAGTGTGAAAAGACAATGTCACATGGTATGGGATCTGACTGTCCAAGGGATTTTCAGAGGCTAAGTTTTAGTCACAAGAGCTGGTGGTTTCAAACTTGCCTTTGGGTTGGCAGCAAAGCTCCTTCGCAGAGTTCCCTGAATGTGCCACTGGGGCAGCCCAATCTCCTGTAGCTAGGTGTGTCTTTCTATCAACCCAACCAAAACAAAACACCAGAAGACTTTATGGTGAGAAAAATTTATTACATTTAGAATTAGCCTGCTGGACTCAGTTTAGATGATCCCAATCTGAAAAACAAAAGGGAGCTTTGTTACTAAGAGCTAAAATGTAAAGATTAGAATACTGTCATTAAAATGAGGGCAAGTTAAAGTTAGGGTGCAGTCACTTTAAACTAATCACCAAACATCAGGCTTTGGTCACTTTAACAGAGGCATCACGTGCACCCAGGGGTGGGTATTATGGAATTGTAAAAACCCCAGCTTACTTTGTTGGCAACATCCAAAGCATCATAATCAGGAGCAAGTCGAACATAGGCCTTCTTCTCTCCATCAGGCCTGGGGTGGAGAAAAAAAGCTTAGTTCTGAATGTACGCAAAGCTCCCAAATCCTCCCTTACTCTCACACATCAGCGGTTCCTTTGATTATGTCACTTTCTTTCCAAATAGTGATTTGTTTTCCCATCATTTGTGCAGAGAAATAGAGAAACCACTAAAGCACAAATTCCCAATTCCCTTTTATGAGAAACATCAAACCAAGGAAATCTGACCAACTGGGTACTACAGAACCCACCTCTGCCTATCAACAGAGGGATAGAGGGGGAAAAAGGACAAACCAAGCCTAATGGGGATATCTAGACTAACAGGAGGTACTGTATTCTCCAGGATCAAAAATTCACTTCATTCTATAGGGCCCCACTCACCTAATCAAAGTGTTGACCTTAGCCACATCAATGTCATAGAGCTTCTTTACAGCTTGTTTAATTTGGTGCTTATTGGCCTTGACATCCACAATGAACACAAGTGTGTTGTTATCTTCTATCTTCTTCATAGCTGACTCAGTGGTCAGGGGAAATTTGATGATGGCATAGTGGTCAAGCCTGGTGAAAGAGGCAAAACAAGGTTACCTGGCTTGGTCAAGTGGTGAAAGAAGTGGAACTCAAGGTCAAAAGGGCACAGTGCATCAGACAGTAAGTGGCAATCATGTTTGTCAGACTTTGGTCGCTGAATAAAAGTCATCATCTGCACTGTTGTTATGTGCCGTCGAGTCGCCTGCAACCCATAGCGACCCTATGTACAACAGCCCTAAACTCTGCTCTGTCCTGTGCCAATCGCACTGTCTGATACTCCCATCTCAGTAACTGAATCAATCCACCTCATGGAGGGCCTTCCTCTCCTGCGCTGTCTGTCCCTCCACCCTCCCAAGCATGATGTCCCTCTCCAAGGACCGGTCTCTCATCACAACATGTCCAAAGTATGTTAGACGGAGCCTCAGAATCCTTGCCTCCAAGGAGCC